ATATATATTACACACACACACACACACACACACACACACACACACACACACACACGTATTGTGTGTATTTGTGTGTGTGGGTCTATTGAATTTATTTTGATACTGATACAGAAACTCAGTTATTTTGTATTTCAGTTAGTATTATTACATAAATCTCATTCTTGTTGCATACAGTATGTTTATGTATGACTGACAAATATGCATCAAATTAGGTTTATTAGTTTATGTTAAAATTGTGCAATCCAAAAGAATGGAAATTTTACACACCATTAAAATCTTATATCTTAGGCCTTAATATTTTTTTGAGTGTATTTGCTCAATCCACCACACGGCTTCATCTTCTCCTCACAAAACAAAGCCACCTCTATTCTACCTTCATCAATTCTCAAGCGTGCAGCTTCCTCCCTGATCAGTGATTGGGCAAACAGCTCTACCCCTTCACCTCAACCACCGCCCCATCTGGCTACCCATGCTCTTTTTCCCATTGCAGGAGAAAAGGTCATATTTCAAATGACCAGTACAGCTGCTATCATAGAGCTTTGTACAAGCAGCCAGCAGAGTGTGTTGGGATTACCCAACTTCCAAACCCTCCCATGTAATATCGTTTTCTCTCCAATCCCTTGCTTATTTTGCCCAACAAATGAGATTCCGCCATCTGTGCAGCAAAGAAGCTGCGCAGCTCATGCTTGTAACGTCCCCTCTGACAATCTTATATTATAAAACCGTCCTCTATCTATCGAGCTAGAGAATGGGCCTATCATTGCTATTTTCTGCCCAATAGTGTTGTTTCCATCCATAAGAGAAGCATATTAAACCTAAATGGCCAACATGGCTAGGATGAAAATGCAGTGTTGGCCACAAGTGAGCCATAAAGTTGTGACAATGATAATGATATTACATGTTGTCCAATGTAGTAGAAAATGAGCAGAAGGTGGCAAATACTTCAAGAAAAGAACAAAGGTAAGGTCAACGGCATTGTGGGAAGTTCATTTCGTTTGTTGTGAGAGTCAATTAATAAATTGAAAATACTCTAATAGTGTTATAAGGGTTTTGGATCATTAGGTTTGAAAAAAATTGCATGTCTAATGCTCCAAAAAAAGTCTCTTTAGTGGCTCGGGATTGTCTGTTTCTGCAACAGCGATTATAGAAAAGCAATCAGGACCAAAAACAGAGCCACCAGAGAATCAGTAGTGAGTAAACAAAATCTTATAATGGAAATGAATGTTAAAATAATAGCATTTTAATATTACAATGAATAAATGAATAATGCAAAAAGTGTCTCGGAAGGTAATGTTAGGCAATAAGCAACTGCTTTCTAACGTGGAAATTGTTTAAGAGGCTAATTTACAGCAAAAGCAACACAATTGCAAGTGTGATAATGCTTTTATACAATAATTCAATTAACAATTTTAATATTGAGTAACATACATTTTAAACAAATTTGCTAGTTACTTTGCCTGCTTTTGCTTTGCCAACACAGCAGCAGAATTGCTGCATGCCTCCAATTCTTGAACGAATCTGTGTTTTTGAATGTCTTACTCTTTGATTCAAATGAATCAATGTTTTTTAATTAATTAACTGAATGAATGATTCAATGACTCACTCTTAGCAAGAGTCACTTGTTTCATTCCTGAATCGATCAGTGTTTTTTAAAATTTACCAGTTAAATGTGTGCTTCAATTATTCATTCATAAAGACAGCCACTTGCTTTATTCCTTAATGCATCAACATTTTTTAATGAATCTGTTGACCAAATGATTACAATGACACACTCAGTTAGTCAATTAACACCACCTACTGGTATAATAATGTAATGTGCAGAAAATTTTACCAAGCAGAGTGATAGAAAAAGTGAAAGCTCCCAGTGCTGTTAGACTGTTATATCAGCGCTCTGGGAATGCTGCTCAACCAATCAAATTTGAGGACTGGAACTAACTGTTGTATAATTTACAATAATGTCCAGCTGATAGTATTATCTTGCTTGTTAAATTACCAACTAAATGGAACAAAAAAATTATTACTTATTTGAGTTTAATAATTTTATGTGAGAAAAAAGAGTGCTGAGAGATACAAACTGTTAAGTATTCTGTAAGAATCCATTCACCACAATAATTACGCTCATCAATTCAATCAAACTGTAAAAAAGAGATTTAAAAAGGTTTCTGAAAATTAGACTACCCCCAAAGTTACTGAAGTTCTCAGTAATGATACTAACCACAAACTATTGCTCTTTGATGTGAGAAGAGCTAGGGGAATTACACATGGCAGATTTCTTTTTTTTTTGGTATGATCCTCTTCCCCTCTGCCGTCTACCTCACCAAGATGATCCTCCTCACTGGCAAGACATCTGACTCCCATCGTACCCTCCAGTCTCACACAGAACCCCGGCTCCATGGAAATGCGTAATCTCACTGTGCTCCCCAGACCCGGTGAGTTGACAGACAGTAAGGGATTCACATTAAAACCTAGACCTCCAGATGTGTAAACAGCTTTTTGTGCACACCGGGGATCAGCCTTGGGAAGGAGTAACTGTGAAGTAAGCTACAACAGCTGCTCCAAGCGGGGATAGTAAAGCTTCTTCAGAGAGCATCCCACACGCACACACATGCCTGAAAAAGCAAATCCTTTTCTCCATTTCACTCTGTTCTTTTGGCTAGATGTAATACGTGAAAGTCATGGATATTCATTGCACTAGGTAATGATGCTGGCTGGAAAAGCACCTATTTATAAGACATTTCAGAGCAAGGCTCTTTCAAACCTTCAAGAAAGTTTAAAAATATAGTATTCTAATAATGCTTAAGCTGTTGCAACATCTTCGTCCTTTCACATTAGCTTCAAACCACAACTTGATTGCTTTCTCGATGCATACTGTCAGTCATTATTCATAATTGCACACTGCATTCATTGTCAAGATATTTATTACCCCCATGCACTGTCATTCTGCTTCCATGATAATCATTAAGTAATTCATTATGCACTGATAAATGGAAATGGGTATAGAGGAAAATGCTGACAGCAAACTTGAGAGGCTTGCAAAACTTATTGGTAGAGGCAATTTACACTGAGTGTAAAGGAAATTAGATGCTATTTACACCCCAGTGTAAATACTAACATACACTATTTGCATTTTGCCAAGTACATAGCATCCTATATAAACACTACCATTCAAAAGTCTCTTATGCTTACCAAGGCTGCATTTATTTAATCTAAAAAACTGTAAAATATGAATATTGCGAAATATTATTACTATTACAAATAATTAAAAATTTTTTTTTTAATATATTTTAAAATGCAGTTTATTTCTGTGATAGCATCCATTACTCCCATCTTCAGTGCCACATGTTCCTTCAGAAATCATTCTAATATGCTGATTTTGTGCTCAAATAACATTTCATTTTGTTATAAATGTTAAAAAAAAGAGTTGTGCAGCTTAAATTTTTCATGGAAAATGTGATTTTTTTTTTCTTTCAGGCTACTAATTGAAACAAGTTTCGTATTTATTTGTGTTGAAAAGGTTTCACACAAATTTCCATTGGCTTCAAAATGTAATTTTGTCCATAGCTTCATTCTATTATTCAACATGAGGGAACAATTCAAATTCTAATACTATTTTATATAAATAAACAAGTGGGCTTGACAAATTTATTTTTTCTTAGGCCTCCAGAACAGTGATGTGGTTTGTTTTGGTTCTAAATTTTACAATCATTTTAACTAAAAACATATTGAGATTTCCTGATGAGAACGGAGACAAGAAACAATAGAGAGAAGAGATGGAGGATGGCATAAGAAAATGCCACAAGCCAAATGCAAACTCAGGTTGTCCATGCAAAGATACTAATACACATGCTTTACACTCCAGGCCACTTTTTCAATATCCAACTCAGACAACATTTGGTAGTTTTTTCTGGTTCCACCAGACTCTTGGGGTGCCCTGCATGGCCAGTGCTATTGACACCTTCTGCAAATAAACAATTTCCAAAAACTGACAGAAACTATGATACATCTAGCACAAACAAACTAAACCAGCAAAGCCTCAAGGCCTCGCTTCTCACCTCTGACGACAATGTTGGTGGATTTCTTCGCAGGATTACCCACGTCGTTACTGGCTACACAGCTGTAAACACCAGCATCCTCTGTGCTGATGGCAGGTATTGTGAGGGTCTCACTGTTGAGATTGCTCTTCTTTGGAAGCTCTTCATTGTTCCGAACCCATGTCAGGGTCGGGGTGGGCTCGCCTCCAGAGATGATGCACACTAGGACCACTGTCTGTCCAGGGTTGGCCACAATGGGGTCTTCCACGAGCAGCTTAATAGTCGGGGAGGCTAGGACAAAAACAGACAGGGTAACTCTTATCATCTTTATGTGAAAGACCTATTTTCTTTTTTAAAAGGACACTTGCTGCTGCACTTACATGGTGTTTGACATTTACATCAAGCAAACGCACGTATTACAGTTGGCTAGAAGTGATGGCTTGCAGTTTAAAAAGTTTGACAATTTAGTATTTTCCTCACACACACCTATTGTTTCGCTTCAGAAGACACTGATTCATCAACTGGGGTTATATGGATTACCATCGTCTTTACGTCAAGTGAACGCATATATGACAGCTGGCCAGAAGTCATGGTTTATAGTTTAAAAAGTTTAACATATTAGTATTTTTCTCACACACTCCTATCATTCCACTTGGGAATACATTGATTCAACAACTGGGGTTGTATGGATTACCATTCTGTATGCTTTGCACAGCTAATGCGTTTATATTTTAAAAAGTGGTGTTTACAATTATCACCTAAAGGGAGTGATTTACTTGGTCCCGTAATGCAATAGGTGACCATATCCAATCTATGTAATCAAGGCCTTCTCCCATGAGCACACTGGCACTCTGTGATGTAAGGGCCTTCAAGTTGGCAAAGCAATCAGTCAATCCCCAGGATTGTGCCGTGATCATCCTCATCAGCCAATGTGCTGCCAGAAATGCACTGAGAGACGGAAAAGAGGTGAGAAAGAAGTATAGTGCAAGAAAATTAGTGGGATGGGAGGGGTGGTGGAGTGAGAGAGGAAGATAGAGAAACAGAGATGGCCGGAGGGAAAGGTCTGCCGACTCTGTTCATTCTTTAATGGATTCCGTAAAGGTCAGGTCTTCGCCGCAGTAGCATGTGAAGCCCACCGAGACAGATAAGGAGCACAGGGACCCGCAGGGCCATTTCCTTAAGAATATGGTTTTGCCATGGACTGAATTAACTGCAAGGCCAGTGGTGAAAACATCAGCCCGGGGCGGTTTCTTCAGCCATCAACCGACGAAGGAGGAGAAAAGTAGCAGCAGGCCTCTAAATGTAACAGGCGTAACATACTCAATAACACATGCAGCACTCACAGCTCGCTGATTATCAGACCACACAGCACATGTGGTGACAAGAGCCTCAGGGCACTTCCTTTTGAGAGTTGCTTCTGTGGTGCTGCTCGCATGTAGTTTCTTACTCGTTGGACGGCTCAAATATAGCAGAAGGAGACTAAAATAACAGACAATGCTGTGCACGAGGAGGAGGCATTGGTATCACTCTCACCAGTTTTGTTGGTGAGCCGGAATAGCACACTCTTGTCGGGGATGCCACAGACATTGCGGACAGAGGCAATGCACGTGTAGTTAGCGTAGTCCTGAGGACGCAAGTTCTTTAGCTTCAGGATCTTGGTCTCCCCCTGCAAACCAAGCAGAAGACATTGTATGAAGCAGAAACTCAGCGGGTTTTGCTTTTGTACACAGATTTTACACTGGACATGGAGATGATCTAACACAGCACCAAAAATACTATTTAAATATTCTATTAATATTAATATTATTCAACTGTAAAAATCCAACTTCCATTTTGTCAGACAAACTGTATTTTAAAGGCTGATTAAATTATTGAGTGTAGAAAAAGTCAACTTTTAGGTCATTTAGTATGATCAACTTCTACAACTAAAATATTAAACATTAAGAACTTACTTGCTGTTACTTTTCAAATTCAGTGGTAAAGGTCCAACTAAGACTGCTGAACATGCTCAGTTTGATCAGTAATGATGAACTTAAAAAATTGTTTTACTTAGTGGTTCTAAAATAAAATAAATGAAAATAAAATAGATACATGCTATCATTGCTCAGACATTAAAAACTGATCTTCTCTACACATAAAACACTATTCGGTACACATCCAACAAGCCAAAGGAGAGAGGAAAAAACTAGCCATATCCAATTAATCTGACTTTATCTGAGCTTTTTTGTGCTTTAAAAGACTTCTGCTAATTTGCTCATTTTGGTCTTGTATCCCCTCCGGCTAATGGAGCTTTATAGAGTAATCTTACACAATTTGAAAGTCCTGAGAGTTTAATTTTACAATACAGCATTGGTTTTTAATTGGTGGTTAGCAACCCCAAAAAAATTGTTGCAGATATATACTGATCACAAACAGCATGGAAAACAATGCTAAATACAAATTAAATGCAACTAACCATATATTGGTTCATGGTTAGGATGGCAAAATAATAAGGTTATATTTTGAAGCCAAACCAGTTAAGAACCAGTTGATTACGTGCACAAGCGACTCACTTCTATCTAATAATAAGTAACTTATTTTTGTATCATCTTTACATGAGGTCAATCTCTACAAAGACAGGCATTTTAAAGTCCATCAGTTAAAAATAGTGGCACTGCTTGATACCAAAATCTTCTGAAGATACTTAGCTTTTGATCTGCTTTTTAACCTGAGACATTGACAGAAAGCTGCAGTGCATTAGTTTCATATTCATAGTTCTGAAGAGGCTGAAAGATAAAGAAGGCTCTATTGAAAATAACATGCAGAATCTCCTTTAAGTGCACAGACTAATGTTGCGTGATTGATTCTCTGTAGGGAATAAGAAGAGCGAAACAGGTCCTCAAATACCCTGTGTCTTAGGACTCATTACCAGGATGGATCTACTCTGGGCCAATCACTGTGCCATATCGGATGTGTCAAAGCAGTGTTTTGAAAGCAGACTTTTTTTTTTTACTGTCAGATGATGTGCGTCCTCCTGGACCAGATAACACTCAAAATGTCAAACTGATGCTCCCTCTTTTTCTCTCCTGATAGCTGCAACATCTTTCATGCAAGAGCAATTAAGTTCATCAGATGTTTTCAAGCAACTCAGGCTTTCATATTCTCTCATTTTAAAGTTATAGTGTTAAATGTCAATACTGATGCACACTGTATATCAGCTATTTTACAATGGCCTCAAACATAGCAAATCTAATCAGAATTTAAAGTAGTTTAATTTAATTTAATTTAATTTAATGCCATATATTTAATTTATAATATTTTCAGCAAAAACAACAATATAGTGATATATATGGGTACTGTGATATAAAATAATTCATGCTCTCTTCAATTGTTCTCATACTCCTAGCTTATATTGACCATTTTAACACTATTGATGCAGTTATGTTACCATTCAAAAGGTTGGAGTCTGTAAGATTTTTTCATACTTTTAAAAGTGTTTTATGCTTTTTTTTTTTTTTACCAAGATTTAATTTATTTAAATAAAAATACAGAAAAACAGTAATATTTTGGAATATTATTATAATTGGAAATAACTGTTTTCTATTTTACTGTATTTTAAAATGTATTTTTTTCCCCTGTGTTGGCAAGGCTGAATTTTCAGCAGCCATTACTCCAGTCTTCAGTGTCACATGATCATTCAGAAATCATTCATGCTGATTTTGCTGCTCAATAAACATTTCTTATTATCAATATTGAAAACTGCTGATTAACATTTTGTGGAATATATTTGTAATGAATAGAAAGTTCAAAAGATCAGCATTTAAAAGAAATCTTTATAAACATTATGCATTTCTGTCACTTTTGATGAATTTAATGCATCCTTGCTGAAAAGAAGAAATCGACTGTTTTAAATTAAATCTACTGACCTATATCTAAATCTATATGCACACATATACTATAAATTGACATTACTGCTTTGAATACAGTACGTCTGAGCTAACGTCTTACCTGTGTGAAGAACGGCTCATAGATCTCCACACCCTTGTCCGAACCTTGAGACAGGAACTCCCTCCCCCGTCTCCAGCTGTACCGCACTGGAGGGTTTGAATTGGCAGCACACCGCAGGAACACTGTCCTCTCATAGTAGAACTGCTCCTTTGCCTCTCCTATACTCTGATGGACCGTCACAATGGGTTCATCTAAATCTGAAATGTAAACAGATGGGTCGGTCACACTGATTTAACATCGCTCAAATTGCCCTGAAAAATGGCTATGAGACTTTTGCGGAGATGGTGGTAGACAGCAATAGCCATCTAGAACTCTAGCTAGGTATATTTAAAAAAGGCTTCAATAAACACAGGCATGTAGGACTGAAGTATGGAAATGACAGCATGTAAATAAACAGAAAACTAGGTTACAGGTAAACAACAACTTCCATATTTAGGTTTATTTATGCCACACTTCATGCATTCATATTCATGCCCCAATTCAAAAAAGTCATAAGTTCAATTCAAATGCATATGTCACAGTGTTACAAGAGTTGCGTGCCACTACTAGCATTAAGTTGTTGCTAAATATACCTTAATATGTGATAATAATTCCAACATTATAGTGTGATTTTTCCCTGTTTCCTTCCAAGCTGCTCAGAGATTGAAGGCATAATTTGTCGAATTGCTTAATGAGCCAAAAACAACCTAAATTAAGAAGAAGCCCATAAAAGAATTGAAATTTACTGGAGCGCAATTCATACAGTAGCCTATTTATTATGGTCCAAGATAGACATAAATGACTTTCTACATTTTTAACTAATTTAACACCAACCTAATCCATTAAACACCAGTTAAAACACATATATGTTATTGAGATCAAATGCAATCTGGTAACACTTTACAATAAGGTTCTGAAAACAGCAGTAAGTGGGTGCAGAAACATACAAGCGTTAACAGCAAACATAATGTCTAAAATGATGGACCACTCGGGCACCTGTATTTTGGCACTTGAATCGTGAGCATTTTTACAACCGTAATTTTTTTCAAGAGCCACAGTAATTATCATAGAGTGCTTGAGCGAGGAGCCATGTGCTTTTACAGACTGCCCTCAAAGCACAAACCTTCCTCAACTCTCGGCTATAAATACACCAAGCCTTTCAAAATCTGCTCAGTAACTATTTGACTGACAGCATTGGTGATATTTTCCAACACGCCAGGTGACATTTTTAATACTTTCACGAAACAGAAAGTCATACAGGTTTGGGTGAGTAAATGATGACAGAAAATGGTCTCTTTTATTGGAAAAAGGTCACTGATTTATTCACGATCCAAGGCTGAAGTTGACCACTTTGGGACGAATATAAACCTGAATGCAATCAATATCGCTACTGTCCATCTTGAGTGCTTAAAACTAATGACTAGTGAGTGCTGCCACACTCAGAGACAACGTGGGCACTCCAAATCGAAGCACTCAGTTGTTTATCGGCAGTGTGTTGGCTGTTCTTTATCAATGACATGTGTCTAGGCTTTGATCACTGCATCAGGAGTAGCATGTTTCTGATCGATAAAAGCGAGTGCCCACCAGCGAATAGTCCACCATGAAGCTGGAATAAAAATGACAAGCTGAGGCCTGTTCTCTAATTCAAGGGTAATGACTTGCTCCTCATTGTCTCCCCACGGCAATGCTGCCTGCCATCGTCCATCGCTCCTCCTATTCATCTCTCTGTGCTACCGTAAATAACTTTACAACATCTATGGCTCCTCCGTGTCTGTAGGGAACAGAGGCAACACACAACTCCTTTTTTGACAGGTCGTGATAGCTTTTGATGGTTCCGATAGCAGAGGAGTAAACCTTTGAAACTTGGAAAAATTCGGGAGCGAGCTTACTGACACTGATGTCTCTTTGAAGAATAATCCTCATTTTCATTTCACTCATTCATTAAACCTCTCATTTTACGCATTTCGTCACCTATTCAAAGGCTTGAATTTGATTTCAACAAAGTTGCAAGACCTTCAACGAGTAGTGCCTTTAAGTCGATAATGAGGCCATGTGGCATCTGGATGAAAATAAAAGTGTTCACGGACTTAAAATGATGATGTGTGTGAGGGCAAAACTCTTTGAAAGAGACCTAGATGAGATATGCTCTTATGATGGGTCATATAAAAAAATCTGACTGTCTGGCTTTTGATGATCTAAGAATGTGCTAGACAAGAAATACATGAAATAACACATGCTCCATTATAGCCCAGATATTGCAAGTCCGACCATATCAGAGGTAATTAATTTCAAACATAAAGTGGTAATGAAACATAGGCAGAGTTAAAGGGGTCATATGATGCTGCTAAAAAGAAACTTTAGTTTTTGCAACTTTACAGATCTTCTTTATGCACCAAGAGCTTGTAACACTCCAAAGAGAAAGGAAAAATTGAAATCGCATCATATGACCCCTTTAATGGTTTCCATAAATCACTATGATGAGACACCTCAATGTATTCTTTGATATATTTTAAGTTTGCGGTTGGAAAGATTTTGAATGTTTTTGAAAATAAGTCTCTTTTGCTTAAGGGATGCATGTATTTGATAAAACATATTGTGAAATGCTATTTTAATTTAAAAGAGCCGTTTTCTATTTAAATATATTTTAAAAATGTCATTTATTTCTGTGATGGTAAAGCTGCATTTTCAGAATCATTACTCCAGTCTTCAGTGTCACATGATCCTTCAGAAATCATTCTAATATGTTGATTTGGTGCTCAAGAAACATTATCAATGTTGAAAACAGTTTTAATTAATAGATTTTTAATTAATAAAAAGGTTAGCATTTAATAATAACAGCATTTATTTGAAATATAAATATTTTGTAACATTAGCAATGTGCTTACTGTCACTTTAAATAAATTTAATGCATCAAATATTCACTTATAAAAAAAATTATGACACAATGTAAAAAAAAATGTATCTGGTAAAATTTCACATACAGTATATAGCAATGAAAACTTTAGCTGTTGCAGATAGCATAACTAAGTAATATTATACAGAAAGTGCCTTGTGGGTACAACGTTGAAGGATTTAAATTTATATTATTAGTAAATGTCCTAATACAGTATTTTGTTTCCTTGAGCACTGCCTTGTGTCATTGTCCAGTCATTAACACATTTTGCTATTGTGTCTGTATCATTAAATGACACCATAAGTGGGTAAAATATTTTCTAAGCAGTTATTTAGCAGATGCTTTTATTCAAAGTGACTTACAGTACACTTATTTCAGGGACATTCATTGTTGAAGGGCACAAAGGTTGTGGCTAATGGCTAGCTCCTTAAGAGGCTGAGATTTAGTCACTATAACACCCTGTTTTGTTAGTGAATATTGTGCTAAAGTAGGCATGTAAAATGTGCTTGGAATTTGTGCCACTGTCTCTCTTCGAGCTGCATAAAGCAGCAAGTGAGAGACGCATTAACGCTTAGAAAACGTTCTGGCCCATTATAAACAATGCTGGAAGGTCATCCAGCCATGATAAATTATTTAGATTACTGTGCCTAACATTTATTATTTATTTCAGAGAAATGGGTTTGAATAATGGGGGCTCGTAATAGCTTAACAAGCAAAGGATTGAAAAAATCCCCAGTTTTTTTAACTGTATTTTTTTTTCATAATCATGAAAAAAGGAAAGAGAAATGCAAATATAAAAATATGAAAATGAAATATGAATATGAAAAAAACAACAAAAATTTCGGAAAGCTTGACGTTATATAAGCTTTAAAAAAACAATAAGAGGACTCGATTAATAATCCAAATAATCATTATTATGCTGCATGATATAATATATAACTTGTAATACACATATAATTTTGATAAAGCAATTGTTGCAATGCTACAATCAAAAGTTTCTGTTTCCTTTTCTTTGTTGGTTTATAAAATTGAGGTTACAGCATAAAAGCAACAGTGAACCCAGAAGGTACTACAGCAAGCAATTCTGCTTATAAGTGTGTCTTTCCAACTGATTATCCATGATTCGTAACCTGAGGATTTAAGTGAAGTGCTGAATCAAGGTTTGAGTATGCGCCTCAAAAGCTAAAAGAGAGATGCAGGCACAGTCAGCAAAGGCTAATACCAAGCTATTGTTGCCTTGCAAGAGTCTGTGTCAAGTGTGTGTTTTTTTTGCCGACAGGCGGATGAGCTTGTTAACTCACAGTAGACGTCCACTCGGATGGATTTGATGGCAGGAGTGCCGAGGCCGTTCTCAGCCTTACAGTAATAGCGGCCGCCCTGGTGCCTCTGGATGCGGGTTATGCGCAGTGTCTCGTTGAATACGCTGGAATCCTGGAAGCGGTCAGTAGCACTTCCTGCTGTCTTGGTCCATCGTATCTGACACGGGACAAACAGAGAGAAAAAAAAATCACATCAGCTCAGAAAGAAACTCATCAGCTAGTGGCTTAAAACTAGCCTACAACCTTCCTTAGAGCACATGAATTGGGTAAAAAAACAAGATAATAATGAAATCATTGTTTCAATAACACATATAAAACATGACAACAATGGTAGCATCGATTTTGCAATTTTTGCTAGCTGAAATTATGATAAAAACAGAATTTTCAGGCTGGTGCTTATGTATATTTGAATTCTCCAGAGTAAAAAAAACAGACAATGTCTCAATATAAAAAAGACTGGCTCTTTTAACTGAAAGACGGGACCTTCAATCCTACAGATGCCATAATAAATAGGGATGCACCGATACCGATACTGGTATATGCAATGAATATAACGTTAAACATTCAGTATTAACGCCTGTATAGCTGATGTGCGCGAGCTGATAAACAAAGCACGCTGAGTGGATTGAGCGCGCGGGGGCACAGATGCCTTTCTCACAGACATCACTGTAAAGTTTGTAGTTCGGTCGGATATGTCAAAAACAAGTAAGTAAAACGTAAGTAAAACAATGCACAAGCTACTTAATGGTAGGGAGAGAGAGAGAGAGAGAGAGAGAGAGAGAGAGTTGTTGAAGGTGTCAGAATACATTTTGGCTTGACTGTATCTATTTGATCAATTAAGTTAACCAACTAACTGTTACGGGTTGGTGAGGGACATACACACGAGGACGTAGGAAATAAACAAAAGGTATTTTAATAAACAAATCCAGGAGACAGGCAAGTACACCAACATTACATAAACGAGAACGGACCCTGACTAAGGGAAAACTGAGAGTATTTGTAGGGGAGCAAACGAAAGAACTAATGAGTTAATTAATGAAACACAGGTGAACGAAATGACAATTAGGGGCCAAAGTAAAACTAGGTCACAGGGGGACAAATACACTCAAAACAAAACTAAACATAACCCTAACATTACTCCCCCCTCCCGGAAGGCGCATCCCGCACCATAACAGTACCACCGGGGAGGGGGGGCGGGTGCCCTGGAGGCTGGTGCAGGACTGGAATGGGTGAGGAAGGGTGCCGAGAACCCCGGGGGCAGCGCCATGTCCATTATCGCTGCCTGACACGCTGGAGTGAGCTCTGAGGCTGGAGCGACACTGGAGCCGGCTCTGGGGCTGGAGCCCTGCTCTGGAGGAGCAGGCACAGCAAAGCGCTTTTGAGGAGTTGGCACCAGAGCGAGTGCCACCTGAATGTCCGGTGGGCTTGACTTCCGAGCGGCCGGCCATCTTAACTGCTGAGAGCCCGGCGCTCCTGGGCTGAAGACTCCGGCGGAGCTTCGGAGGACCACGGGGGATTTGGTTTTGGGCAGGCGGGAAGAGCCATTGGAGTGGTATGTGGAGAGCGGATTGTTTCATCATCCAACCCCAGCAGGAAGCACGCACCTAGAGCGGCGTCGTGCCAACTCACCCTCTGACCGCCTTGCCGCAAACCCCACAGCGCATCCTCTGCTGCAGTCATCGTTGGGTCCGTTCTTCTGTTATGGTTTGGTGAGGGACATACACATGAGGACGTAGGAAATAAACAAAAGGTATTTTAATAAACAAATCCAGGAGACAGGCAAGTACACCAACATTACATAAACGAGAACGGACCCTGACTAAGGGAAAACTGAGAGTATTTGTAGGGGAAGTACCAAAAATAAAAGTATCGGTATCGGGCGAGTACTGGAAAAAGTGGTATCGGTGCATCCCTAATAATAAATGTGGCGATTTTCCCATTCGTTTTTCTGCGAGTGGTTCATCTCCTCCTCTATATCTGTCTCTGGTGAAGCACACTGGCTCACACACACTTTAATAAAAAGTTTTGAACAAAATTATGATAATGTTGCTGAGTTTAAAAGTCAACACGAAATAGTGTTCTGTCATGACAACTCTCGGAGGGATTGGCATGGTAATGCACATGACAATGTTAATGTATTTGGTCTTGGCAGAATAGATCTGCTACGCTGCTGCTGCGGCAGAGCGAGTACCGAGACTTGCTACTGCCAATACATCCACAACATGCTGCTGTGAGCATGTAAGAAGTACTGCTGCTGCACATATAACATGAATAACCCCATAGCATACATGATCACCCCGTAGCAGATCTATACAGGTGGAGCTGGGGAAGGTGGAGGTGGAGGGTTTCTGGAGTGCGCTGCAAACTGCTACCACAAACATTAGTTAAGTACTTGAATGTTGAGCAGCGAGCTCATTGGCTACCGATACAGGAGAGAACCAATCAGCTGTGATGATGATGTCATTATGTCATACTGAGTTAGATCTATTGGAGTTTCATGCCAGAACTTTGTATTTATTTTAGTATAATATACTGTTATAGTATTTATTCATATTTTGAATCATCATTTTAATTTTTGTTTAATTTTAATAATTTTGCTATGTGCTTTTGTAATTTTATTAGCTTTTTAAATATTTAAATTTATCTTTATTTTATTTTTTTACCTTGCCCAGTAAATTTAGCACATTTCAAATTAAACATTTGCTTCAGTTAGTTGACAAGGCAACATTTATAATTTTCTTTTTAGTTTATCATCCTATATTTAATTTCTTTCAGATTTATTTAAATTACTGAAAACAATATTTAAAAGTTTTAGTTTTAGTTAACAATAACAACACTGACATCAAAGCACTAACAATTCTTCTTCCATACTTAGATGTATTTCTGAGAACAACAGGATATGCAACAACACTGAAAAAAAGGTACTTTGCCACGGCATATTTTCTCCCCAACACTATATGAAATAGCTCGGGGCAGTGATGTTTCTAATACAGAAGAATCCTTTCCAGTTCATGTTACAAGTTTTGTCATACCACTGTGTAATGAGTCTAATACTGAAAAATAGCAACTAAATGTGCTATTGAAAATATTTCAGTGACTTTCTAATCATGATGCTACTGTTTACATTAAGGTTTTAACTTGGAAATAAGGCAAATACTCTACCACAAATCTGATCTCCAGATCAATACATGGCATAAGCTCTATTTGGATGGTAATTATTTCTCAGCAGGATGTCTGTAAAAAAAAATCTGCATGTCATGAATTTGGATCGCAATTAATTCACAGAGGATGGAGGTCTTCTGTGATTTGACAGCCTGGAAGCTTCTCACATGGTCTACACGATTTGCCTCTAAATTATGTTTTTTCTTAGTCACTCCACATAATAACATGTATAAACTACAGGTTTATTCAACAAAATATATTTATATTAATACCCAGTTTTACCAGTTCACATGAACACGTTGTTTATTCAACATGTTTATTCTACAGGTTTATATATTAAAGCATATTCACAATAATTGCCCATTTTAACAATTTACACAATCTGCCTTTAACTTATTTTTTAGTCACTCCACATATATACAGGTTAATAGATCAAAATAATTTTATATTAATGTCCAATTTTACAAGTTTACATGATTTGCCTCTAAATAGTTTTTTTCTTAGTCACTCCACATAATAATGGTCCTGTCACGGTTATGCTGCTGTGGCGGAACGAAGGAGCACGGAGACGAAGGAGTTGCAATATTCACAGTCTTTATTATATCCGAACTGGAGAAAACACAGGAGAATCAGGAGACACACACGCTGCACGAGGAGTAGACGTTTACAATACTGGACGAAGAACTGAAAAAAGGAAACCATTAAATACACAGGACTAGAGGGACACAACGAGGAATACCTGAAATCAATGACATAACAAACATTGGAAACAACTGGGACAAATTAACCTAATCAGGAAACAGGAACAGGAAGACCAAATAAGGACATAAACAGCACATGGAGTACGTGGGGGAAGAAAACACACACAGACACGCTCTGGAGGTCCCTCAGGACAGACACTGGACGGCGGGCCTCTAGAGCGGTACCCGTTTGGGGAGACATGGCGGAGCAGGGAACTCAGGGGGAGACGGCAGATCAGACAGTTTGGGGCACCATGGCGGATCAAGCAGACTAGGAGGCCATGGTGAAGCAGGCAGACTAGAAGGCCATGGCAGAACAGGCAGTTTAGGAGGCCATGGCGGAGCAGGCAGTTGAGGAGGCCATGGCGGAGCAGGCAGTTCAGGAGGCCATGGCGGAGCGGGCAGTTCAGGCCCAAAAAAAAAAAATCCTTAGGGAGAATATAGTCTTTAGCAGCCCTCCGTAGGCCTAACTTGGGAACTGTGGCCATCCCTGGGCTGGACGTGGGAACTGGAGTCCTCCTTGGGCTGGACATGGGGACTGGAGCCCTCCTTGGGCTATAATCGGGGACTGGAGCCCTCTCTGGGCTAAACTCGTGGACTGGGGCCCTCTCTGGGCTAAACTCGGGGACTGGGACCCTCTCTGGGCTAGACTCAGGGACTGGAGCCCTCGCTGGGCAAGACTCGAGGACTGGCGGGCTGGTTCTGGATCGGGGCTGGACGCTCTCCAGACACCGGAGGATCTCTTCCCTCCAGCTCAGTCCCTTGGTGTCTGGGAGGTCCATGGGGTGATGTTAGTTGGCCCCGAGCCAGAACAGAGAATTGATGGTGGCATCACCCAATGCCGTCGCCGCGGCGAGCCCGCAGAATTCCCAGGCGTACTCGAAGAAGGGGAGATCTCGGCGGACTAAGGCGGAGAAACGAGCGGCGATTTCCATGATCTCGGGGGGAAAACAAACGGAAAACCAAAACACTTTTAAAAACGGAAAACAAAAACGGGGAGAGGGGGCACCACTTACTGTCCTGGGTGCTGTCTTCTGTCACGGTTATGCTGCTGTGGTGGAACGAAGGAGCACGGAGACGAAGGAGTTGCAATATTCACAGTCTTTTATTATATCCGAACTGGAGAAAACACAGGGGAATCAGGAGACACACACGCTGCACGAGGAGTAGATGTTTACAATACTGGACGAAGAACTCAAAACACGAAACCATTAAATACACAGGACTAGAGGGACACAATGAGGAACACCTGGGA